GAGCCTTGTCCTTTTGTTTTCTTTAGTTGAGAATTTTCTCCCCTCAGCTTCCTCAGATGGAGGCAAGGCAGCTGCTCCAGCTACATCTGCACACTTGGCTGCTGGATGCCTTTAGTGTTAGAGGTCGGATCTCAGAGGTGTTCTTGCTGAGAGCTGGACTCAGCCAGGTGGACACACCTGTGCTCTGTGTGCAGAGGCTTCTAGTTAATCCTGTCTGAGGTGTCTCATCTCCTTCTATGAAACTTCACAGCTCTTTCACAGAGCTGAATGTTGTGTGAGATATTTCTACTCTAATCTCCATGTAGTTGCTGCTTCTGATCACGTTTTCCGTTTCACAGCCCAGCATTGCTGTAGTTCCTCATACGTCTGAGTTACTCCTTCAGGTGCTCAGGTATGAGCTCCAGGTAGTCCCCACAGCTTGATAAGCACCTCCTTTCCCCATTCCAACCTGCCTGCTCTGCCTTCTGCTAGTGCAATGCCAAAAGGTGGTGAGGCTGGGCATGGATCCTCTCTCCATGGACTTGTTCTTGACACACATATTACAAGAGTGTGAATTTCCTTAGGTACAAACTTGATGTTCATAGTAATACCATTAGATCTACCTAATTATTTTCCTCCCCAAACCTCACTTGTAGATGTGACATAGGGCAAGTCCTGTCCTTCCAGCAACAAGGATCTGTGTTTCCAGAGGTCTATTTGCATGTGCAAAAGATCATTAGTAATTCCTGTTCACACTGCCTAGTGAATGAGCTGACTGATTTTCCAGAGTGTTCATAGTGTTCATAGTTCCAGAGAACTGACAGGCTCATGGCAGGTACATTTCTGTGTCTGTATATGGACAGCACATTTTACAGTTCTCTGGTTATTGCCAAGTAACTTCTCTTTATGGACTAAGAGCTCATGTTGTCAGTGGCTTTGAGGTGTTGCCTGTTGCAGGCCCACATTAATTTTTTTACACAGGAAGATTGATCATTTGTTGTAAGGCTTTACTCAACAGCTCCAGAATTTTACCCCTTTCACCAAAGATCAAATACGAAATCAATCCCTTAACTCATAGTGACATAGTGACTTTGTATTTCTAGAACTACTTGGTGAATGTCAGTCAGGCTGGATAAAGTTTCCCACTTGAAATCCTGGAGTCTGGAATAGTCTCTGGATGCCCACAAGGTGTGTGCAGCTGCAGGCCACATCGTGTCTCTGCCTTTAGCCTGACTTCACAGTCAGTGGCTCTTCAGACTGTGTAGCACTTGATTTCTGATGGGTGACTGAGGCATGTGGTACATCTTCCTTCATCAACATGTTACTGGAGACAAGGTTTTCATTCCTTTCAGGCTTAAACAGAATTGAACAGGTTAATTTTTATGTGCTGATGTGAATAAATTCCAATGAGGTTTTTCTTTACAGGTTTAATTTTTGTCTGTTTTTCTCATGTTCCATTAGAAGTTTCTCAGGAGAGATCCTGGTTTTGTTGAAATCTCAGGGAATTTCGCTGTTACCTTTAAAAAATTACCTGAGGGGCTTGACCTTGTGTTAAGCCTACATAACACAAGGCAGAAACCTTGTCTTCAGTTGAATCAGCTGCTGGGGTTTGTCAGAGTCAGTGATGGCTGGTCACAAGTGCCTGAGTCTGTGTGTTTATAAATATGAAATTGCAAGGGTGGAAGCTCATGATGTTTGTTTTCAGAAAGTTGAATGTTTGTCATTCCTTTCTGACCTTTTTGGTGGTGTTCTGTCTTTGTCCATAGAACTCATATGTTTCACTCTTCAAATTTATGTTCATTTTATCCTTCTTTTTTTTTGTTTGTTTTGTTTTTTGTTTTTTTTAGGACCCAATGTTGTCTTCCAGTGTGAAAGCACCTCAGAGACCCACTATCCAAGTTTGACTAGCGTGGAGGCAGGGTGGCCAGCCCTGCTCACGTGTCTGACACAATCCTTTTGCTTCGTTTGAACGTTAGAGCCAATCAAGAAATTAGGTTTTTGTGGGTTTTCTTCTAAT